GATGTCGTTCGTTACGTACGAAACCCATTACCAACTGACACGTCGCGGATGCTTTTAACGGATGTCAACATTCCTGCATACGAGCGCGCGACGGGATACCGCGATTGATCGATTATTGGCAGTTTCTATTTCCGCACATGATCCGGCCGCGAGACGGGAAAGGAAGGAGGCACCAGAAAACAAATGTCTCGATGGCCACCCGTGGAGGGCCATTCCCGGCGCTCAATGGTTCCAAATCGCGAAAACCTGACCAGAATACGAAGACGTTCTTTGATTTAAACAAAACTTGTTTTGCAAAGGTTTTCGAGGTCGCTGGTTATCTGTAACAAATTTTACAGTTTACCAAAACCATACAGCAAACTACCAAAACTGGTAATCTGCAAATAAAATTTGAAAGAAGAAGAAAAACCGACATTTCTCGGCTTGGGGCCATAATTGTAGAGTGGTTAGAAATTGAAGAAACGAATTTTAAAGAAAGATCTCTTATATTAATTCTACTCACTTCCAGGAATATGGTCCATTTTTTAAATTTGAAATTGATGCAATGTCACCAAAGTTGGACTGTTTGGAAGTGAGCGACACGTTTCAGCTGCTTTTTTCCGTGAGGTGCGGCTCGAATCACGATCACTTTCATACTGAGTTATAGACCCAGATAGAAACGGTCGACACCCCTAGCCCTTGCCAAAGCTGAAATTTAAATTTTCATTAGTGGAGTTTCAAGCAGGTATCGCGATTTGGGACTCATGCGCTCCGCGGTAAGCCAAGAACCGTTTCCGTTTCGGAACGTGTCGTAAGTACGTACGTACGTACCTACGTGTTTAACGTAAATTTATGTTAATTCATAATATTATGAACACAAACTTAAAAAATTCGTAATTAAGGAAAATAGAAAAGATACACATTTACGAAAGGCTCACACAATTTGATTCCTTCGTTCCAATCAATGAGATGTGTTTCTTAATTTTTACTGAAACTAAAATTTTTTTAGTAAAAGGTAATTTATTCTTCCACATGACGAGCAGTACACTCGTCGAGAATCTCGAGAACCGTTCAAGGGTTAAACGCGTGTCTGTGTCGCGCAAATGTGCATCCTCTCGAGAGGACACGAGAAGTTTCAGAGTCGCGGTGCTTATTATTTATGAAACCGCGCGCGACTCGTTCCTCGTGGCTGGAAATACCAAGCGGCTCTTTCTTCCTCGTTCGTAACAAACAACCGGCCAGGTTGTCCGTCCGGTGATTAATGTGGCACCATTCGTTTTTCTCGCTTGGAACACGGCAGCGTCGTTTTCGCCAATATAATAAAGGTACGGTTCCACGTGACAGTAAATCGTGACTTTTACGGTCATGGCACTAAATGTTCGGAATTTTATCGCCGTGCGAACATTAGTTTACATTGTTATACAGTGTCATGACCGCAAAAGCTATGACTTTTGTCACGTGAAAACGTACCTTAATATCTCGATCCAAAAACGAGCCACACGAAACGCGTTGTGTATCCTTGGTTTCTACGATTAAAATTTCGCGACTTTAAAGGGACATTTTTGCGGTGAACGCTCTATAAAATGTCCCTTGGCTCAAGTGTCGACTCGAAGATTGAATATTGTATAAAACATGTTGCGGATGGAAACGATTCCTACTCTCTGCGATAAGTGCTCGTATCCCCCAATCCACCAGTTGTTCGAGAGGCGACCAAATGATTTTTATCGGAAGATAGAGAAACGGAAAAAGCGTCGTTATTTCCTTCGCTGTGGCGACATTGCGTGTGCCCTTCTTTCTTTTTTTCCCTCTCCGTTATCGTCGTCGGTAGCCGCTTCCTAATCCGGTTTTGCGAAACAGGAATCGCGTCATCGAGGAAAAAACGTTTAAAACCTTTAACGATTCTCGCCGTCGTTTCCCCTTCTCCACCTCCCGTCGTCCTTCCCGCCAATCGCCACTTTTTTTTTCGCTCGTTACTTAATTTAGAGCCCGTGTCGGGTTACCCATTCGTTAGCCGTCGCAGTTTAATAGGATTTACCGGTGTAACGCAGCCAACACCCGTCGGAACCCGGTTTGATGGGAATATTCATCTACATAGTTTGAATCTAATTTCACGAGAGTACGTTCGGTTCCCGCGAGAACGTGTTGTATGTACAGGGTGACGAAGAAATCGGGAATACAGGGTGTACTCGCCCCACTAGAAGGAAGAAGGTTTATGCTTGTTGGCGACCGGAAAATTCCAGGGAAGTTTAAAATGCAGACAACACTCGGTGAAATATGTGTAATCCAGAGCTGCGATCTCTGCAGTGAGCAGAAGAATAAGGGAAATCTTCAGACGGCTCGACTTATTAGTTCCTTTAGGGTTACAGTGTCCTTGGGTACACGATCTAGCTGAAGTGACTTGCAGAATAGATAGTCATACATTACGAAAACGTAATATAACATACGGTACGAAAACAAAAACTTGTTTTTAACTTTGTAAGTATTCATTTTTCGACCCATGTTTATTACGTTTTTTTTTTTTTGCATCATTTAGCAAGTACTATCTACCTAAAAGATTAGGAATCCTTTTTTTTTGTTTCACCTTGTGTAGAGTGAAGGTATAGAGTTTGGAGAGAAACGGGGGTGGTCGGTGAGAATCGAGCACTGGACAAAAGTTATTAGATTACCAGCATCGGTTATTACGCCGACGGTGCGGTTTAGTCGCTGTCGTCGTTATCTTTATCCCCCCCTGGTACGCGCACCTGTCGCCGTACACTGTCCACGCACATGTGTCGGGCGGTCTCGCATGCAGAATGCGCGACGATAAGTGTGTGTGTCCCTCCTTGTGCCCGGCCAGATAAACGGGAGGATCGCGACGAGCATAGTGATTTTTCGTAAGCAATGCTCGCGAGAACGGAAAGAAAACGAAGCGACGATCGTGATATCCTCCAACTCCACCTCCATTCTGGTCCCACGAAGACAATGGCGTGGTGTGACGCCATTTCTACGGCCTTTACGTGTGCACCTGCTACACAGAGAGAACTGAACCCTTTCGATGTTTGCGTCGAGTATACTCGTCATGGCAAGATGGCATTTTTCTTCAAAAACAATTTATAAAATGAAAAAATTTGCATTTCTTATTTGAAGGAAAATTTAGGTAAAACGAAAAACATATTCGTAATTCTAACACATTTCAGAATATTTTAGGACAAAAAAAAAGACAGAATAAAGGAATACGCGTAATCAAACACTCAAAGGGTTAACCTCCTCGCAGACATTGTTCAGGCCAGTTCAACCTGCATATCCCCCACCAACGAACCATTATTACTAATTATATTATACTATCCTCAACGCCCCGTAGGTCCTTCTATTTAGTATCATAACCGATATACGAAATCTTCTTGCAGATCGTACATCCGCAGGGTCGATGCGATAAAGGAATACCACGAATGTTTCACGTGGTCCGAAGTTGCAACGAAAGAGATTATAAAAGTCGTTAAATCCATGATGATAATCCTCTGCAACGCCGTTTGTACACGAGAAGAATAGCTCCAGAACGTCTTCGCGAGTGGCACTCGACGTGCCCTAAAAGATATCAACCTTTTCGAAAAGAGAAAGGGAGAAATCGTGGGCGTTCGGTTCGGTTGCTTGTACACGAGACAATCCTGAAATCGGTAATCGAAAGTACACAAAGAAAGAGAAAGAGGACCACAGAGGGGTCCTAGCGGATGCGCGAAGGCATCGTTGAAGTGGCCGAGGTGAAAGGCGCTGTGCTGGTACTCGCATACGAGTGTTCTCGCTCTTTCTTCTTCTTCTCCACGCTTGTACGTGAATCCGTGGAGGTACCACACGTGACATTTTTACGATGGCACGCTGACGCGGTTCAGGGGGGATCAGCCGTGACGATCGTTAGCCGCGTTGTGTCTCCTGCACGATCTCCACGCTGGTATTCAACTGAGATTTTCTACCGTCGAGGCTGCAGCTGCTGACGGATGCGCACTTTGAAACATCGCATCTACCTGATAATTTTGTCCACCCTTAGTGTACCACGTTGCTCAACGATTCTTGTCGTTAGCAGGATCGTCAACATCGCTGGTAGGATAATTCAAGTAAATCCTCAGTTTGTGTGCGTTTATATCGTCGTGCTAAAATGTTCTTATGGTCATCCAGCTGAAAGACGAATCATTGAGAAACGTTGAACGAGACGGCATGTGTATATAATAGCGACTAAAAGTATGGGATCAGGTCTCATGATTAAGGAAAGAAACATAACAGAATAATAAGTTACCGCTCCATCGATCATGAACTCTGATCCCATACTATCGGCCGATGGTGTACTTATAAGGGGAACCGCTGGTTCGGTTACGACTTCGATGAGACTTTGTAGAAAGATACTAGTCCACTGAATATCTAGTACACCATTCAGTATCTACATCAGAGCCTAAAATCTACAACTCCATTGAAATCGGTTGTTAACGTACCCTCTAGTTCCACATTAACCGTAAACTAATCCATCACAATCATTCGATCGCAGGAAAGCAAGAAGGTGAACCGTGAGACGGATTCTGAATGCCTGGTTCCGCCACGACTTCCGGCCTACCGCTTCAGCCCCCCATGAAGCCACTTCCGCGATTCCCGTTTACGGATGAGAAAGGACCGTGTATCGAAGTCTCGACGCTCTAAACCGAAAGACCGATCCATCCACGTGGAAAAAATAGTTCTTTAGGAAGCCAGTCTTTAAGAAAGTGTCTTGACCCTGGATCACGCATCAGATCGAGACAGAGAATCGACCGACCAACCATACGATTGAAAGTGTCTAGTTGACCCTGGATCACGCATCAGATTGGGCCAAAAAACCATCCAACCAACCACGCAACTGAAAGTGAAACAACACGTACTGCACGGTTAGGTCCACTTTCGATTGGCCTAGGGGGGTCAACACATTCTAGTCGACCTGATTGAAGGTTGCTATTTTAAAAATCTCAGCCAAGAGATCCCATGAATAGGACACGTCCTCGACACGCGTAATCCAGACTCGAGAAGAGTCCAAAAAGAGAGACCAAGAAGAAGAGACTGCTGTCCTTTCCTGTCGTCGTTGGTCCTCGTTCAACGGAGGACCGATCGGGGCCCTGGTGGTGTCCTGGGACCGCAGATGGAAGCTGGTCCGCCGGAGCCCGACAGGGTGGTCAACCCCGAAGAACGACGCCTGTCGGAAGAAGCACTTTTACTCGAGAGACAACTCGCTGCTTGTATTCAATATCCACCGATCCGGCGCTGCAAGTCAGGCTTCTCCCTCCTGTATCTGCCGCGTAAACCCGATCAAGCTGGAATTGATGGAGTTGGAGAATATCGTGGCGAACACTGTGTACCTCAAAGCGAGAGAAGGTGAGTGATCTCGACAGATGTGTGTTAGGTTTTATAGACGGTTAGCTACTATGGTTAGCGTGGGACGATCTCTAGTCTTGTGCCTTCTTTAAATTTAGGCAAGTGTCAAATGTAAGTGTAGCTTAGTAGAAGGCTAAATACATTAGGCAGAAGTATTTAACGTAGAGATCCTTCCGAGCAGTTATCGAGAATTTACTGTATAAGAAAGATCTCGATCCAGATTCAGCACAGTGATAGAAATGCTTGAAATATAGGGGGTTATTAGTGCACACCTTTGCAGGCCAGAAAGTCAACACTTTGACTGTCGTGATCCGTGTGCAAAGGTTGGCCCAGTAGTTGGAATGTTAATTCCTTGGATGAAACACGTGAATTACTTTACATATCGTTACGTTATAATCGTAGTGTATGTACTCTGGCTTCTGCAACGAGGAGATGTTGATCGTTATTCTTATTATTTCCGTGTGTGTCAGCGATTGTCAATATTGACAGTGGTGTCGTATTATCTTTTTTCAACGGTAGGATGATCCAAACCGGTAGTTAAAGAAAAAAAAAACGGTGAAGTCGACGGAAAACAGATAATACCTGGACCTAGTAAAAACGCAGTACACAGTGGTCGGGAGTGTCTGCCACTATCTTGCACCAACACAAATTTTTATTGAATAAAGTTTGCATCGATATATAAGCAACACTTCTTGTGCTTCAATATTGCATTCCATCTGATAGAGAATAGAATGAAATTTCCCTGTGCCATTGTCGTGTCTTCTCGTTCCACTCCGTCGTTACGTAATTCTTTTGCCACATTATTCTCGTATACATTCTTTCGTCCCCATTCGCCATGTGCTTGTAACCGCGCCACGCTCGCCTGTAATAAGGCCTACTGTGTATGTGTCGACAAACGACAAGAAAGTTCGATATTATACGAGTATCTACGCGTGCGGACGCAGCGTATCGTAAACAAACAATAATAATAGAATTTACGTCGAAGCGAGCGGATTTCCGTTGAAGCGAGAATCATCACGGAATCCCTCCTTTCGTCGACGTGTTCGCCGACCATCTCCATCCCTAAGTCTCGGTTACGTTGTCGCGTGAACCGTAGAAATCCCGTGGAAATTGCACGCAGTAATTACGGGAGAATGATATTTCATTCTCGGCACGGCCACCACGAATTAAGCGAATTCCACGAAACGTTTCAACCCCTGTTTCCAAAACACTCTGTCCCAGCCGTGAATCTCGCGCCCAGACGGCTCATAATTTTCCCGTTAAGCTCGGGCCAAAATGTTCTCGTAACCGCAGTGATTCAACGATAATTTAATTCCTTGCCCCGCCACATTCTGTTTCATCTTCAGCAGAAGGTCATACTGCGATTTTTGATGTATCCTTTGGTTCGACTACCTTTGACACGTCTGTTCAACATTGTGATGGAGACTGGAGGGACTAAAGGAATTAGGGGACTAGAGGATGTCAAGGGTATACGATCGAAGAGACATTGAAAGGACAGAAATCAGAGTTTCCAATGTAGATACTCTGACTAGAGGAACTAGAGGACTAGGAGGTCCCAAAGACATCCGATCAAAGAAGCATTGAAGGGACAGATATCAAAGTGTCCAAAGTACTCGAACTAGAGGAATTAGGTAACTAGGGCAATTAGAGGACTAAAGGATTCCGAAGATATCCGATCAAAAAAGGTATTTAATAGGACAGAAATCAGAGTTTCCTAAGTATATCGACTCCGAAGATCCCTTAAATTGATCGCAGTGGCCATAGAATAAGCAAACGCGGAAAAGAAAATTCAATCTCGAGAGTACCCACCGTTTGAAAGATTCTCGTCGTTCTCGCCGAGGCGACTTACGATCTACCCGGCAAGAATTGTATTCGAGCGCCGTATCGAGGATCGTCTATCGCGCCGGATGATACACCGCGGGGTAAAGAAGTCGTATAAAAGGGACTACCGGTCGTATCGCCGTCTTTGGTTCGCGTCCTAATTGATATATTTGACGGTCGGATTGAAATACTGGCGTTCACAGCGGCGCCACAAAGCTCGGCCGCGCGATCGTTCCCGGACACGCTCCTTGCTTCTCCTAGCCCCCGTGACGTTTATCGTCCGACTATTCCTTCGCAATTAGCTGTAGAATCACGGATACACGAGCGTGTTTTACGACGGAACGGGTACAGGTTTACTGCAATTCCTGAAACGAACTATGATTTATCATAAACGGACAGTTTTACTAATGACTTGGATGTAACAATAACCAAAACGTTTGAGTCTGGAAAGCTTGAAAATCAAACGTGCAGTGCCCCTCTATAGTCATTCCGGAAATTTGAAAACCCGTTTCTGAAACGAGCCACGATTTACCCTAAACGTACAATCCTATTAATGGACCCAGCTATAACAATGACCAGAATGTTTTATCCTCTGAAACTTCGACAATCCAACTGGACGGATTATAAAACGGCTAGTATCCCTGTATAGTCACTCAGGAAATTGGAAACCTCGTTTCCCAAACGAGCCACGATTCACCCTAAACGTACAATCCTATTAATGGACCTAACTATAACAGTGGCCAAAAGATTTCAGTCCCTAAAGCTTGAAGACCAACTCGCTCGAGTATCAAATCGTCCAATACCTTGTATAATACTTATAAGTTGATACCGAGACCGAATATGACCCATTAATGCATTTCTGCTGCGTCTCAGGGGCTCCTGCAACTTCCCCCGATCAGTTTGCAATTAGAAGTTGGTATAGTTCGTTATGCTGTGTAAGGCAATGTCCCGGTCGTGGGACGCTTCAGGTGAACGAGAGAACATCCACAACTCCGGGCAGCAAGAGCCTGCAATTACCAGAGGCCCGGAGTGTTCGCGCGCGCTTATAACGCGTTAGTCTGTCCCGCTCGCTTTTATCGCGCGCGATACAAAGAGCATGAACGTAATAACGTAAAGTATGCGGTTTAATTGGGCTTCTGTGCCGGCGCGCGTTCTCGTTAAACTCCATTTGCATATAAGCGGATGGCGTCCGGCCCAGCCCCTCCCCGGTCCTGGACGTAATTTCGGGGCTTGGCGAATAAATTCGTGAAAATACCGTGGTTACTCCCTCCCCTCACCGATTATCCAGCTAAGTCCTGTGGAATTTTGCTATCGATCGTCTTCTTAGAAGTTTCGGTGAACTTGTTAGAAGCACGCAAGAATGGTAATTGGCTCCCTGTTGGGGCAAACATGTCCTGCCTGGCCCCTGATTTGGGTCGAGTCTAAAGAATGCGAGATTCTTTTATTGAATCTTGGTGCCAATTTCTAATTAGATTTTAATATACCTAGTTGGTGGAGAAGATACAGGGTTATGTTCGTAATACAGTAAATCATCGATGAATGTTCGAAGACTCCTCGGCACTGAGTGTTCAGACGTCAGTATCATTCTTTCGATTTCGTCCAGATGTGTTCCGTCATTAACGTATCTCGACAGGGGGGGGGGAGGGGTCAGGGAGCAGAAAAAGGCGAATTTTAATTAGCATATAGTGCCCGTCCCCCATCCGAACCGCGCATCCTGTGTGTCGAAGCGAGCCACAGAAGCCTGTTGCGTGTGGCCTGGCTGGAAAGTAGGTAAATAGGCGTCCGCGTGATGCGCCAACGACGTCAATGGGCTTGTAATCGCATCGCCACGGTGAACTTTATAAATATATATAAGAGCCGGCACGAGCGTTAAACGTGCGTTTTCGCGTCTCGTCGCGGCAGCTCCGGCTTGTAAATTACGTAAGAACCGCGAACCCGTTCGGGTTAATTGGCCAAGGGGGTGGGGTAGGGAGAGCGATGTTTCCATCCAGTAGATAATCGTGAACGTGATTGCGGATAAATTACTAGGAAGAGAAAGAAAGTAAACTGCGTGAGAGGAAAAAATAAATATATGGAATTTAGAACGATCCTCTTTCACCTACGTTCGATTGAGAGTTCTCCAAGAAATGCTTACGCAAACGGTACCACCAATATGGGCCGTCACGACAAACGCCTGTCGCGTGTAGGTGACAGCACTTTTATACGAACCTTGTCGCGGCGAATCTATTAATATTATTCTCGTAACGCCGAATAAAATATCTTGCAAGGAACTATGTAGTGTATATCGCGAGGTTCAGAACGTCGTCGTGGTCGTCCGCGGGTTTTATTACGGCGAGCCGATGCTATCGTCATGCGATCGCTTTAAAAAGACCGCCCCGTTCGCGTGATAATAATAAGAGATCAATGATACGGTTCGCCGTAACCGTTAGGCGCACAAAACGTGACCTGGTTGCGATTCGCGAGCCTCGAAAAAAGCCACCGAGACGATTATTTTAAAGGATCACGTTCACGGGTCTTGACGCACTTCGTGTCGTATAAGAAATATTAAACTGAAGAAAAAATGTACCTGCAGAAGATATATTTCGAAAGTGTGTCCGTCCTATTGTCCTTCGTCGTTATTATTTCTTATTGCCGGTCTTACTGTCGTCAATAATTATATATCGTAGGATATAAACTATCATTGGAGGCCTTTTTTTATATTACCTTTTAACTGCATAAAGATTCAAGACCTTCTTCTCTAAGGGTATTAATTATTAAATATCGAGACTGGAGGAAATTAATGGAAAAGTTACACGATTACACGTACATAAATCATTGTTGGATCATTTAAACGCCACATTAGAATAAATAATGATTATTTTGGTATTAAGATGGTGCAAGAATATAGAGCTGTCCGATCGAATAAATGCTATTAATACGGCTGTTAGGACAGCAGAATCGAAGAGTTTATTTTCTAAGCATCATGGAACCGTATGAATAGAAATCGATCATTGTCACCCGGCTCTCTGTCATTCCATCAGCGGCCGGCGTCGACGGGCGGCGACGTGTCACACAGCTTTCTAGCCGACAAAGGCCATCGAGCGGTCCCAGAATTAACTTCGTTCATTAATTTGCAAATGTATTCGGGTCTGGTAGCGCCACGCGATTGGCTGCGATGCCGTAATACGTTTATGACGCTTTAAAAGATGAATGAACCGTGCACTCCGGCGAGACCTTGCGCGATTATTTTCTTCTCGAAACACCTTTTTCGCGTCTCCCACCGCACATACCTGTCCGACTGAATCTCATTTCGCGGCGTTACACACGGACACTTAGACCGTCTTAGAAACCAAACCGATCGATCATCGTCTTTAGCGTATTTATAAATATTAAATGATTTTATAAATCCATCTTTATGCTATTTATATCTTACTAGTATTTAAGCCTGTCTTCGCCAGACGTTACTATGGTACACGTTTAAAAGATTTTTTTACATTTTGTTTTCGACACAAATCGATACCAGTGCTATATAACAATATCCAAACATTTAAAAAACTCCAAAAGTGGGTTCATCGTGAACTAGAAAAAGGAGAAATTTCATATATTATGACTTAACAAAATTTGATAAATGATAAAGAATGTGATGAATTTTCATTGGGTTGATAGGATCAGTTTCTCAGTCATTCGACATTACTTTTTGATTATTAGGATGTCCAAATGCGAACTAAATCCTAGAACAATCAATAATGAATAAACAGATGAACAGTCTAACATCACACCACGTGGCCCTATAATGACAATATACACTTTTCAATTCTCCAACGTCAAATCTGACTCATCCTGTACCTCACGAAAGAGAAGGGTCTCTACCGACCCTTCCAACTTCCGACCCCCCATGATCGAACGAATGACTGCACACGTCGAGGAAATGTAATCGGTTGCTCACGGATCCGCGAAAACCCTGTGACGAGAGACTGTCCCTCCTCCTCCGTTCTCCTATTTTTCTCCGCCCCTCACCGTCGACGACGACGATCAATGACGAGCCCGTTTCGAGGAAATTTCGTTCCGTCGCTGGCCCCAACCCCCCTAACTCTCGTCTTCCCTATACATTCCCGCGAGGAAGAGCATCCTCTGGAAGCCGAAAGCCGATTGGAAGCCAGGCGCGCGCTTGAATCGCGACGAACGAAAGACGACGTTAACCCACTTACACGCCGGGCTTCTCGCGAACACGAAGGGTAGGTAGCTCCGTAATTCGTGGCGCGAACAGGCTGGTGCTAACTCCCCTTAGCGAACGGTGTAAATCGAAAATGAGAATCTTTCACCTCGAAGCCGTCGTCCACAATAAAGAGGTCACGTCGTCGAGATTTTTCCTTTTCAATGCGATTCTGCGATCTATCGAAGAAGCATCTGGGATGAGAATTTATGGAACATTCTTCCCCTGCGATTTTAGCTTCTTTTTTTTAGTATATTACACGCATACACTACCGTCCAGAAGTATTAGCAGTGTACATGGTTTCGCTGTAAAGGGGATTTGATTTAGAATATTTTTGGTATTATTGGAGTATTGTATCGGTGTCTTTTTTCCTGCTGTCAGCAGTCATTCGACCAGGTCTCTTTCGACGCGATTTCAATTGCATTGTAGCGTGTTTATAGCGACGAGGCCGAGATGATTCACGGATTTTAAACTTTCGACGCGGTTCAAGCTCCCGAAAACTGAATATTTGCGGTGTTCGCGAAACGACGAACGTGCCCACTTCACTCGTGGTTAGTTGTGCACTCGCGAAACTATTTTCAACTAGCTAACCCTGGGCGCCCCGTATTGATTATCCGCGGAACCCGTTTCTGTTAGACCGTCTGGCCGAAACCGCCCCGGAGAGGTGGCGTTTCCCAGAAATTGATTGCTTCGCCCTCTTAAACTTCGATATCTTCCTTCCTTTTCGAAGTACATATCCAAGTTCGGGAAAAAGCTACACAATTATTTTTACCAGAGGGAACAGTACAGAAGGTTTATTGACAGATACGAAGGATGAAATTTAAATGCTCCCTGTGCTCGTGTGTTCGTCTATATACTTTCCCAATTGCAATTATGCAGTTTCGTGATAAATTTTTCTTAATTTTTAAATAAGATTTGGCACGTAATCGGGTGAAATAAATGTGACAGTCTTTCGTGAACAAATTTCTGAGTCACTGTAAATGAATATAAATAAATTATAAAAAACACTTTTCCACTGATGCTGCTCTATTTTAGAGTACACTGTTAAACATTCGTATTTGTCGACGGAAATCGTTATTTCATGGAGAATTATTTAATGTAATTTGCACAGAATCGATGTTTTTACCTCCACGATTCGAAGAGAAGCATTGTTACGAATCGTCGAAATCGATTGCGTGTCACTATGTACACGAAAACGACAAATGGGGTGGGTTGCGCTTGACATCGAGGGGTAGGGAAGTGTAAAAAAAAGTGTTTTCTGGACGTCAAAAATGTGATCGCGTGGGCTGCGCGTGACCCGTGAAACAAGTCCGCGAGCGAACGAGTGGAACGTAATTGAACAACTCTCGCAAGAGTTATGCAAAACCACAAGGGCGGAAGGACCGTGGATCGATGAAAAATTAATTACGTGAAACAATGGACACGGGATTCCCGGGCTTTGCTAATTGCTTTTTCACTTATTCGCAGGCGGTGGCGACAGCAACAAGGGCAAGAGCAAAAAATGGCGGAAGATACTTCAGTTCCCCCACATCTCCCAGTGCATCGGCCTAAAAGATAAGCTAGGTAAGTCGCATACTAGTAGACATATTTTTTTTACTAGCAGACAGCTTCGATTTTACGCTCACTCGCGACTAGCACCGTTAATCGAACGCATTTCTCATTTTGTTCGCTGTTTTCCTGTTTATTTTAACACGTGTAAGCGGGCCGAAGGGTTTAGGAGCGGAGCTATGGGCGTGGTTAGACTGTCTTAAATTTTTCCCATTTCCAATATACACCAAAGAAAATAAAAACTTCTTGAAAATTGATCAAACCCGTATGTATAGTGAATTCTAGGGAATCGTGAGTACTATAAATGCATAAAGTCCGCAGTCTACAGATCATCCTTGCGCGCGTGTGCCTCCTAGGCACGTACTCCTGCGATAAGTCACTGGCGTGCTTGTTAACGCGACAGAACCCGGCATTACGTTATTTAATCCTATTCTAATCCGCCGACGATAACGATAATAAGTAGACCCCGATAAGAGGGATAAACCGGGAGAGGGAAGATCTCGAGGAGACGTGCCGATTAAATTATCGAGCATCTCTCGTGGATGATCGAGCTTGGTGGATTCTATATAAGATCCATGGATTGTCCAAAAACCGGAAATAATTTCGGACATTTAGGATAAACACGTGAAACATTTATAGTCAGTCCTTTTATTTTCAGCCATTGACGTAACGCATACACTACCGGCCAGAACTATGGGACCAGTTCTGATAATAAAAAAGATATAAGAGTTACCGTTCCACTAATCATGAACTCTGGTCCCAAACTTCTTTCCGGTAGTGTACTTCCAACATCGCTGTAGAATCCAAAATTATCACAAAACTCCTTCGAGTTGCAATGATGTCCCCTTCTTAAATAACAATTGTCATTAGATCCTTTTTAACCCCCCCCCCCCCCCGAGTCCCTTTAATCCGTGAAGTCTGAATGAAAAGCCAGATGATCACTCAGAAAATGATAATATTCTAATAAGCCAATCGACATTTTGGTATTCGTTACCGGCAGCCTCAAAGAAACCGCTGAATGATTCCGACCTAATCCTGGCGAATCTCCCTATAAATTCTCGAGAAACGCCGAGCAAACACTTAAAACCGCGAATTCGATCCGAGGCACACTAGTATTTACCGAGACAACTATTAGTTCGCTCCAACTCAAATCCTGATAAACGCGCCACGGTTGGTCGCCTATCGTAATTGCGATGTTTTCTTAAAAGAAACCTCATCTTGAAACTGTTACCAAAAAAGAATTGAATATTCCTTTCACTGATTTCGTAACTATACACAAGTGATACGAACTCAAACGATCCTCGTTGCATGCATTAAAAGCTATCGTCCAAGCATGGATTATTTTTCGTCTCGATCAAAATTATGTAATCCTCTCACCACGAACGCTAATTTTCAGTCGTCTTAACGAGAACGGAGTTAAAATTCTGGAAAGGAGTCACGATGTTGGAAATTCTTCTTCACGCGTGATCGGATTCGTTTTTGAAACTGGGACACGATATCTCCTACAGAACTCGTTCCTCTATTTTTTTCTCTCAGCCTCGAGGTCCCCCCGTTTCCCCCCGTCGCGAATTTCGCGCGGTTAATCAACGCGTGACCCCATCGTGGTGACCTCTCCGCATGGATTATTGAATCACGCCCGCTGCAGAGTCCGAGGAGACTCGGCCGGTGTGTGACGACGCGAGATGAGAAGGAAGAGAGATACATTCGAATTGTATCGATACGTATTGACGCCCAGAGTATCGATACACATGCAGATTGGAAATAAAATATACTGGAATATGTTGTCACATTAAATATCAATAGCAAATATCGATATTTGAATTGAAAAGAATCATAATGTCGATATTTGAATCGAACAGTTACGATAGTCGAAATATCAATACTGTATCGCCCATCACTACAACAGATCCACCTCTTCTCATCGCTCGTATAAGAAGCTATACGTATATCGGGGCTCTGTTGTCTCAGTTAATTAAACCGTAATGCCGCCCCGATCGTGTTGTTTCGTCACCGTGGGTGACGGGAACTATCATCCTCTTTCGGCTCGGAGGGACCTCGAGAGAGAAAGCAGCCTCTTCTCGATCGAACACTGGATGCGCGACCGTCCAATAAACACGACCCCGCGGGGTCGATTAAAAGCCCGGGAGAATGTAATGGACCGTTTCGTGGGCCAGTTTTCCTTCCATTCTCGTCCGTCGTTGTGATTCGAGTGATACGTTCTTCACGGGTGGCAGATTCAGGATATCGTCGGTGGTTCCATGACCGATTCATAGCCATGGACTTTTCGTTTCTTGGCCCCATATTTCGAACGATGGATCAGGTGATGCACGGTTCCCATTGTGTTACGCTTCGAAAAATTGCGGAACGTATCGCAACGAGCAGCCTTGTAAACGTTGATTCCATCACGACGTTAAATTCACAATTATCTTCATCCTCTGGATACAATCAATCCCTATAATTACGGCGCCGCGTGAATGTCTTCGCGATTCCCATAGCTGCTGCTCTGTTGCGAAACATCAAATGCGTCGAGAACCGTGGGATTTCGAGACCTTTCGAGAGATTGAATCGCGAGGGGAATGATTCCTGTCGGGGAACTCCCGTGCCAACAAACTCCAGGTTAAAGATCGAGATTTCGCTGCTCACCGATCCAATTGGATTTCTCAAATTACCGCCTCTTTTTCCCTACTTCGAATCATTCGAACCCCTATCCCACGATCTTAGTTTATCACATTATTGATTCACTTGAGTGCTTCACGCCATAAATTTCACTTTTGACGTTTATCGACCAGACATTATAGACAGACCGTTCCATTTTTCTTCTTCCTAACAGACATCAGGTACAGCTATGTGGTGGACCAGCAACCGATCGGCCGGCTGTTGTTCAGACAGTTCTGCCAGGACAAGAAACCTTCGTACCATCGGTACAATCTCTTTCTGGACGCGATCGAGAAGTACGAGATCGAGATGGACGAGAATCGTACCGAGCTGGCGAAGGACCTGTTTGAGCAGTACCTGAAGAGAGAGGGCTCGGAGGTCGTCGACATCCTGAACGACTCGTTGATAGCCCAGTGCGAGGAACGGCTCGGCTCCGGTGGGAAGGAGCTCTTTGTCGAGATCGCCCAGACCGTGAAGAACTTCCTGGCCGAGGAGCCTTTTTCAGTTTTTCAAACTAGCTTCTATTTCTATAGGTAATTCCATGATCATACCATAAGCTTGTTCCTCTAATCCCCACCATTCAATCACCTTTATCGCTGTACCAATTGACACTACCGCGAAATCATGCTACCCTGACCAATTTGAAGCAGCTGGAATTGAATAGAAATTTTCTTCTTCCCCTTTTGTCACGTATCATTAAAATTGTACCTTTTGTCGCTGTTTTGTCTTGAAAATTTCATAGTTTTCAATGTTACATTCTCCTAGAAATGCTTTAGTATCTGTATAGTAGGCACCAATTTCTCTTATAGTAGCTTTACTGCAGAAGAAACCGTTTGTCGATATCATAAAAATTTCGATAAATTTCACTATTCCTTTCGCAAGACACAGTTTTCAACTCTGTTCAGTGTAACCGATAAAGTCTCCTAAAAATTCGATAGTCTTGGTCTAAGAGCAACCTACTGTTCCAGGTACCTCCAGTGGAAATGGCTAGAAGCGCAGCCGGTGACGTACAAGACCTTCCGTATGTACAGGGTGCTCGGTAAAGGTGGTTTCGGCGAGGTCTGCGCGTGTCAGGTGCGCGCCACCGGGAAGATGTACGCGTGCAAGAAGCTCGAAAAGAAACGTATCAAGAAGCGAAAAGGAGAGGCGATGGTGCTGATCGAGAAGAACATACTGCAGAAGATCAACTCGAAGTTCGTGGTCTCGTTGGCGTACGCGTACGAGACCAAAGACGCCCTCTGTCTGGTGTTGACGATCATGAACGGGGGCGATCTAAAGTTTCACATTTACAACATGGGCGGCGATCCTGGTTTTGACATTAATCGCGCCAGGTTTTACGCGGCCGAAGTTGTCTGCGGTCTGGAGCATCTTCATCACCAGGGGATCGTCTACAGGGACTGTAAACCGGAGAACATATTGCTGGACGATCACGGGCACGTGAGGATCTCCGATCTCGGGCTCGCCGTAGAGATCACCGAGGGCGACATGGTGAGGGGCCGAGTGGGCACTGTAGGCTACATGGCGCCTGAGGTGATCGACAATGAGAAGTACACGTTTTCGCCAGATTGGTTCAGCTTCGGCTGTCTTTTGTACGAGATGATCGAAGGACAGGCGCCGTTTCGCGCGAGGAAGGAGAAAGTGAAGAGGGAGGAGGTCGATCGTAGAGTGAAGGAGGATCAGGAGAGGTATTCCCAGAAGTTCACAGAGGAGGCGAAAAGCCTGTGCCAGCAGCTGTTGAAGAAAAGCCCGAAGAATCGGTTGGGTTGCAAGTGCGGCAGACACGGGGCGAGGGAGGTGAAGCTGCATACCTTTTTCCAGTGCTTGAACTGGAAGAGGGTCGAGGCCGGTATGTGGGAACCGCCGTTTGTCCCGGATGTGAGTAGGTGTCGTTCAAATCGATTCTATATTGTCGTTTCCGTAGCTTCGCACCGTTGAGACACCATCGGTCTCTCGTCATTGTTTCTTGACGATCGGGTGTTACTAGACTTTCGAACACAATTGTACACGACGCGTCATCGGCCGTGTTACAGACGGTTCAAACCAATACGGTTTTTTGACCGGTCATTTTTTTATTAGTTGTTTATTATTCTTTATTGAATAAACGGAATGAGTCGGATTAGTGTACATTATAAATATACAGGGTGAATCAATAAGAACTACTTTTTCGAACACCCTGTACATATAATATCAATCCAAAAACCATATCGTCTGAACTGGCTGTTAGGGGATACACGTGGCGTATAGAGATCACTCGCCTTAGCAGAGTGACGGTATCGATTAAAGGACTTTCGGCTCCCGTCTTATGTTCTTCGGTTCTGATTCTCGAAATAGACGCGTGAACGCTGTATATCAAGTCAAAAGGTCTGTCCATTTTAGCAGAGATCGTTACCGTTTGTTCGCATTTTGTTTTACAGCCACACGCGGTGTACGCTAAGGATGTGCTGGACATCGAGCAGTTCTCGACAGTGAAGGGCGTAAACCTGGACGCCACCGATGACACTTTCTACAGTAAATTCAACACCGGCAGCGTGTCCATACCCTGGCAGAACGAGGTGGGTCTCTTTTTAAGGATTTCTGGCTATATCGGGGCTCAGCCAAAGCACGTCATATGGCGTCGATGTGCACCGAAACCAGCCACGGGTGTGCACGCCCTGGTTCACTTACACGTTGGAAAATATACGACTCGCCTAAAGTGTTCCTTTACGTCAGAGGCCAACGGTAGTGGATCGCTATCCGTTGCTTTCATTTAACCAGATTCATTCGACCTTTCAAACGCGAAACCATCAAATCAAGTTTAGCCCCGGTCTTATCGTGAAAGGAGTGGGCCGCCGTTTGATGAAAGGTGTGCCGCCCTCCCGACCAAAGGCATTCTGGTGTATACAATTGGGACAAATTTCTCTGTTCCAGATGATAGAGACTGAGTGTTTTAAGGAACTGAACGTACTAGGTCCTAACAACACACCGACACCTGATCTGCAGATTAATCATCCACCGCCCAACAACGATAACAGAGGCTGCTTTCCGTTCAGAAGACAGGTTGGTGTTCTTGGTTAAAGTTTGTAAACCATCCTTGGTTAAATCGTGAACTATGGGGATCACTCAGAGAGAGACTTTTCAATATCTCACTTGCTTTTGAAGATACAACAAAAAATGTGAGGTGAAAGTATTATTTAGTTAGAAGGAGCAAATACTGTGATAAGCAAACATTTTTCTCAGGGTCACATTTTTCGAAATTTCAAGGTCGTCGATGTTTTTTCTTTAAATAGGACTACATATTTTTATCAGTGTGGCGTAATAGTTGAGATTAACTTTCTGCAAATCACAAGCAAGTGAGATATTTAAGGTGCTCAGGTTAGATGGAATACCCTGTATAGCTCAATGGTTTTAATTCTGTGCGTACAAGACGAATAACTTTCGATTTATCGTTTTCCCAGAAAAAACAGAGCGCCCGTACAAGACAAATCCCGCTGTCGGAATGCCATCTACTGGAGCTGTCCCAGAGCCAGAACTCCGAACTGCCAGCCAGCTGATCCAAAATGAACGCAAACAGTCTGAATCAATCGACGCCGTCGTCCATGCGACGTCGTCGCTACGGGCGACGCGGCCGACGGTCGCTGAAATGCTGCCCGAAACTGCTATGAATCAAAAGAAAACACGACGAGCCCCACACGACACCGATTCCCGGTGTCGGTGACACGTGTTCGCGGAGAAAACACGTCCATAGAGGAAGAAAGACGGTGACGAGACAGGTTCTGAAGTGCCACCACCACCATCGTCGTCGTCGTTGACACGCACACATCCAAACAGTTCTCTCAGGTTTCTCGAAGCAGACAAGCGCAACTCGTGAATTTACGAGGCGATTTGTCGACCATGCATATCGTTCGATCATGTCAGAAACGATGTGACATATTTCTATTCGTCCTTTTTTTTAAGTAGTCGAAGGACTTCCTTTGGTCGTGTCGTTTCTGTTGCGATTGAGCAACTACATACGATCGTGCGAGTGATTACGTATCGACACGTTATTTGTGGCGTGTGAAGGTAAGCAAACGATGTAACTATACAGTAAATCATCGATGAGTCTTCGGAGGCTCCTACAAGCTGAGTGTTCCGACATCCCCACCACTGGAGGTCCCCCGTGGAACCAGTGAGGATGGATGATTTACTGTACTTGGAGATAACAATGTAGTGAGGTAGTCGATTCCAGTAATTAGGGCCTTAATTAGGGCCTGAGGTTTATTAAAGTTAATTAGGCCATTAGGTTTACCACCTCACTGTATTGTTACTTCCAGTCATATGTGTGCACTAAATGTTGAGTTCATGGACGCATTCTAATAATTATTTTTGGGTATCGATCCATTTTCGAATGGTGTATTTCATTTAGTTGTGCCAATTGTGTTCATATACCTAGTTACATTTCCCGAGGATACTCATTGGCAATGGTAGGACTATGGGAATCGTGACGTATGTCGTAGCGTTCACGCGTTGGCACGTGTGTAATGCTTGAGTCAATGTATGAAGAACTGATTTCTTTTTTTTTAAATACACTTCACGCACGTTTTACAGTCGCAAATACCAAATTGTTCTTGGAAGATCTGTAAAAGGCGGAGTTAAGCAGTAGGGAGCGGAGCAGTAAGTGTGGTCTAATAAATGTGTGGTGGGGACAGCTTCAGCCACTATTCAACGAATGCTTCCAGGTGTATATTAAACATACAGTAGAACTTCGATTATCCGTCAGTCTTTCTTAACCATAAGAACAATGTTTCCTATGTTAAAAGGCCTATTGTACGACCAGATTCTATTTATAATATACTGATTTAATCTCGTATCCGGACAGATAATCGAAGTTCCATTTTATGTACTTAGCATTCGGTGCACACGACGACGTTATTGAGCAACAATGTACGCGGGAAGCTGCGTTATCACGAAGACAAAGGAACATTGAAACGGTCTAAAATGGATTTAAGGCTTACCCCGCGCGATCCATGTGTCTCTTCATCAGTGAAATGTCTCCAAGCGTATCCCAAGTTGATCTTGGGATGAATCAGAATCGTTCGAAACAATCGGAGGATCAACGATTCGACTGATTTTCAGCCATTTATCTTTCCACAAACTGTCACACGATTTTACTAACATTGGATCGTCTAATTGTTTCGAATGTAAAATCACGTCAGAATCATGATTCAGCGCGGAATCTGGTCGAAACATATTTCATCGAGACGTAAACAGAACGAAGCGGAACGGACGCGTTGCTTTAGCCTTAAGTGATTCTGCATTTCAACGAATAATACGTTCGCTTCTCGTGAATTAATTTCCGCCCCATTGTATATAAATTCCTTCCGTTTTCAGCACGACTGATTTCGAAACGATGAGAAAACCCGTCCTGACATACGCACAAAAAAGCAAAGAGTAGCAGATTTTTTTTATCTCTGTCTATATATCTCTATCTTGCTCGATGCACGATTCAGGTTGTGAAATCGTGAACGATTGATCACCAAGCATCACGATCGTTCGCTACGGGCCAAGAATCGCACAACTGACGAAGCACGTACACGGAAAAGCACACAAAAATATACACAAACACACATTTGAGAATATATACACAACAGTCAAGTGAAACGCAGACGCTTGTAGGTGGAATACTTTATTTCCGTCGGGAATCGATAAATGAAGTCACGATGATACATACGAACGAGAAAATCGAAGGATAATCAGCGAACATTAAGAAGTCGCACACCTGATTCGATCTGTTTAGGCTGTCGTTCGTGCGGAATTGACTTTTAAAAAAAAAACGGGGGAAAAACAAAAAAAGAAAGGAATTGTACTATATGTCATTTGCCCGAGGCAAGTTTTATCGTACATCACTGAACAGGACTGGCAAACGAATCGAATGATCGTGTGAAATTTTCTTTTTTTTTTTACGATCGATTTCGCGATCTCTGTTGTACAGTTTCTTCCTAACCAACCCAGTACTTTTGATTCTGTATGTAAATCAATGTGAAAATGTGTCCGTCTAACACCATTGGGTTGTCGAAGGTTAATGTATATGATTCGGTTGATTTTTAATCGATGACAGAGGGATGACCCCCACAGCAATGTTGGGCAAAATTTTTATCTAGATAAAATCGAATCAAAGATAATTGATCTTTATCCGTTATCCTTTATTCGTTATTTAAATAATGTTTTATTTAAATAATGCCCAACTCTGCCCCACAGAGTTTCGTTGCTGTCTGCGCGTATCGGTCCGGGCGGATACTCGTTTGCCAGCCCGTTCGGATAGGTAATATTTATGTACCGTTGCGTATTTAAAGGTAAACCGGCGTAAATATATATATACATATGTATATCTAAGTAAATGATAACGATCTAGTAATTTAAAGGTATTATTAATTAATCCACGAATAACGATGCGACCTCTTATCGGATAGATCGCGGTATCATATCTGGCATTCGCCTCGCGGTTGGTTCAAGCTGTGAACCTGTTTCTCTTGGAACACATACAGTACATCATTGATAAGTGATCGAAGGCTCCTCGGTAGCGCTGACTTTTTAATGAGGCTGAGCACAGTGATAGAGTTTGGAATTTTGAAGCCAACGATGTTGCTTTCAGCCGTATATGACCATATAGTTCATGAGATATTTAATGTTCAATGCCGAGAAAACTTCGAACACTCATCGAGGATTTACAGTACTTTGAATCGCTCACGATACACCGTGTCACTCGTACAAATTGCGGTAGAGTTTTCTCAAACCGAACCGTCGACGTCGAGACTACGACCTGCGTATCGACTTCCGGAATTTTCGAACAATGTACACTCTTCGAACAGGTTATATCTCTGGTCGAAGAAGGAATCGCAAGATTTTTTTCAATGTCAACGCGAAATTATACCGTTCAAGTGGAAAGTACACTTTGTTACACAAAGAACAGTAGTGTTCGAGAAACCGGAAGCGAAAATGTTAGGTTATGTCGCGCGATTTCTCGAGTCGTCGGTAATGAGCGCGGTTCGAAATTTAGCGACATAATTTTGCATTACTCCGTATATCGTAAGTTAGCATTATATACAGTGAATCATAAACGACGGGGGAAGAGAGTGTCGTGTATGATGGGGACTGAGGTAGTTTGATCCTTTCTTTGCGTTAGGTCGCCATATTGCTGGTTCGAAACACTTCCGACTTAACGTGAAGAACCGCTCGCATGGATATTGTGTGCGGCATTAGGCTCGTTGATTGAAAATTCAGATTCTATTCACAATCCGTGCAAATACGATATAGTAAATCATCGATGAGTGTTCGATGATTTACTGTACTTTAAAAAGTTTCACTCGACATCCCTGTTTTTTTTATGCCGGTTTACATAATTGTGTTCGGTTTCTCGCATAGAAGAACTGATAAACGATCAATGACTCGAATGCTCTATCGGTAACCTTGTCAGTGCTTTCAACTGTGATTACTTCCGATGTCCTCGAGAGAGTACCGTGTTATTAATTTATTAGCCTACGAGCGATCGAAAGACGACGATGCTCGCCCGCGTGTCTTTTGCTCAAAAAAGGAAAAGGAAAGAGAAACGAAAAGATCAAGGTACTTGCTTTATATAACCTATCGAAGTGCCTCGAATACTGGCGAAAAGAACGTCCTCGAATCTCGTTTTTAGCCATTTTGTCGGACATAGATTGTCTTCTCCGAACGGAGAAACCACGTATGTTCGCGTTCATTCGCCAGTGTCTCGATCACTTTATTCATTTTCCAGATTGTAAATTTACATATACTTAGGAATTTAAACACTGTTTCCGCGCGTACGTCTTGTTTTCCTTTAATTGTCGGTCGTCTCGTACGATATATAGAGGGGACCGAAAGCGTTGTTCTTCGGCAAGACACGGGCGAAGCGGAGAAGACAGTAAAGGGAAAGAAAGAAATCATTCCAGTTTTTTTTTGTTCGTTGTGTTTTTTCGTTTCGTGCAAACGTCCGACTGTGTAACTGCTGTTTTTACCTTGTCTTTTAAGTGCAATGTCGAAAGCGTGTGTGCTTGTGGGTGGCCATCTTAGGGGGGGGGCTCTTGGTAGGCTAATTGCACCGGAACAACTGATAAATTCATTGTTCTTTGCTGTTCATTACAAAATCAAATTTTCATATACAGCACTCTGCTCATGGTTACAAAATCGAATTTTAATTGTAACACGACTGTACTAACCCCAGAAAAGTGGATGTAACTGAGTCCTTTCTGACCCTGCTATTCCTGTTTCTCGCCGAACATATTTCCTCGAGGAACATCGGTCCTCTTTTCATCGAATCTTATACGAACTGCTGGCTCGTATTACTCATCGCAAACTGAGGAGTTGAACGAAAAATCTCGAAAACTGGGGTCAGAAGGGACCCAGGTGTATCAAGAACAAGGCACAGTTGTTCCCGTGAAATAGTCTTTAGTACCGAACATCAAAAGGATTCATTGTGAATGACACGAGGATCCTCCGATTGGGGCGAGCCCTCGACAGGTTTCTAAGCGTGTTTGGGTAGGGAAGCGCTGTAAGCACGTAAAAAAGAAACTTCTCTTTTGTACATACATACGTAATGGTAACGATGTTAACGGTAACTAGTAACGCGAAGCAGGAAGCGCGAGGCCTAGGTTATAGAGTGAGTGTTTGTATAGGTGCAAAAGGAAGAGGAATAGCAGCGCGAAGATGATCTCTGGTCCTCTGCGGGATGTCTCCAGAGACTAGATTGCCGACGTGAGATTATCAATGTATTTATATTACACACATTCTTCCGTAAATTCTTTTTAATCGTGAGATCGAT